GATGACCAGGAGCCGCCGGTACCAAGGGCTGAGGTCTAGGCTGTGGCACTCACAGTGAAGTAGGTGACAGCCACGCGGTCCTGCAGCAGTGTCTCGAAGGATTCGGCCCAGCTGACCACAGACCCTTGTGTGGAGCCGCACGTGGCTGACGGTCCCGGCAGGCTGTTCACGCTGTGGTTGCTGCCACGGGCCCTGGAGGCATTTAACTCTGAGAGAGAAAAAGGGTCAGTTCCAGCGGCCTGGGCATCCCCCAGCATTGCTCCCTGTTGCCGGCAGCCCCTTCTATCAGCAGCGAGCTCATCCACCCCACACCCACGGGGGCCAGCCCTCCGGTAGGGAATGTGAGGAGCACCACAGCAGCATCCTCGGCAGATCGTGTGATACCACAGCCGGCACCTTCCAGTGCGACAGCCCTCCCTGCCAGCACTGGCTGTCCTCCCCTTGCTGGGCTGTCACCGTGACTCCACCTGTGACTCATCTCCCCGGGGGAACAAAGCCGATCCGATCCGTGGGGAAGGCACCCAGCCTGGGAGGGAAAGCGGGGTGGAGGGGGACACAGGGGGCACACGGCACAGAGGGAAGCTCCCAGGATGGGTAGAGGTGCCTGAACTCACCTTCTCCATTCCTCTAGCCATGACAAGGAATAAACTCAGCGAGAGGAGGGCACAGAAAGTGTCATCCCCCTCTCCCAGCCCTGGGGAAACCCTCTCTCAGGGAAACCCAAGGTGCATTCAAATGGAATCCCACCGTCAAAAAGACGGAAGTTCCCAGGGGCAATCCCAGCTTTTGAACTGGTTTGGCTGGTGAGCAACTGGGAGCAGGGGGTCATTAGCAAGAGCAGGTAGGGGTATGCAAGCAGCAGGGCTCTCCTGGCAAAGCCGGTGGGAACAGAGGAGGCAGCAGGCTGCTGCTTTGCCGGGCTCCCTGCCCTTCTCCTCCTGTCCAAAACACGGGGTAACTGCACACACCCTGTGCATGCAGGTGGGAGCAGCAGCCCCTGGCACCCCATGCTGGAAGGATCCTGCAGCGGGGCCGACATGGGTGAATGGGCCAGCTGAGACATCCAGCGTACAGTGAGAGAGAGGGACAGTCAGACAGACTGACCATCAGGGAGCACGGGGCTGGCTGGTACTTGGGTTCCACTTGCCACTGCCCCCAGCACCCAAGGGTGCCAACTGAGCAGCCAGAAGGGAGGGACAGGCACAAGGGGGCTGTGCAGGAGGGATGGGGAGCCCCTGGCACAGGGCTCAGCCCGGCACTGCGGGGGCCCGGCCGTGCACCCGCCCACGGCACAGCCTGTGCTGACACAGGACCTGGCTCTCTGCTGGCTCCTCACCCCTGGCACCAGGCTGGCTGCCAGCTTCCCCCTCCCCTGAAGATGACGCTGGCCTCCTGTCCCAGAGCAAAGAGCAGCCTTACCTCCATCCGACACAGCCGGGCCCTGCGGGGTGGAGAGAAGAGAGGTGAGAGGGGGCACACGGCGTCTGCCAGCCCGGTGGAGCGGTACTCGGACAGGCGGCAGCGTGGGCGCAAGCCCAGTCTGAACCCGAGAGCAAGGGACGTGGGCTGCCGGCAAACACCGCTCTGGTGTTAGCTGCAACCAGGACGGCTGCCCCACTGCAGAGGCAGGACATGGGGCTCCCAGCCCAGGGGCAGTGGGTAGGGGGGGAGGTCACAAGGGGTGTGCAGCTTTTCTCCCACCTCAAGTGCATCTACTGCTCTGGGGCCAGGCCAGAAACTGAGAAAGGGCAGATGCTATCAGATGTACCCTGCCACCACTGCCCGGGGAGGAGAGAAGCAGCCTCCCCGGCACAGGAAGAGGAGGGGAGGAGGGGAGGGAAGGAAGGACAACCACAGCCCTAGGCAGGCAAACTGCCTGCTGCCTCCTTCCTTGGGACCTGGGGCTACTGGAGGGCAGATGCCTGAACACGGGGATCAGGTCCAAGGCACAGCAGGACATGGTGCCCTGCAGCATTGCCCTCGCCACCCCAGAAACTTGCCGCGATGTGGTACCCTGGGACCCACAGCAAGCAGGGAGATGGGCAGAGCCTTCGCAAAGCCCAGCCAAGCACCCCCAGCACGGCGCTGCCTCTCCTCACCCGCCTGGGGCCCACTGAAGTGGTGCCTTTGATCTGGCCGGGCAGTGCCCCCCACCCTGCCAGCCCCACACACCCCAGCCTTTCCTGCACACCCTCTGCCCTGCCCCAGCGC